TTATTATTATTATTATTATTATTATTATTATTATTACTTCTACTGCTGCTGCTTCTTTCTTTCTTTCTTTTTACTAAGAGCTAGCCTAGTGACTTGAAAGAATTAGTGAGCCTACATCAACAAAACAATGTATTTTCTTCTTATGGATAGAACTGAGTCTTTTGTTTCCTCTATAACAAAGAAATGGAGAACTTCTTTAATTCTTTCTCTTGTCTAGAGTCTGGATGCCTTGTATTTGTATTTTGAGGGAATAGTCATTAAATTTTCTTCTGCAAAAAAAGATCTAATTCTTTTTGTCTGATGGAATGACATAATTCAATTTCCTATCTCCTTCTTCATTGCCTACACCCCCTCCCTCCCAACACATTTTTCATAGTTAGAGGGAGTGATGGTGTCAAATATATCAGAAGGAAGAATTGATTCAGTAGTAGTTTGACGACTTGGCTGATTAACAGAGATCAGAAGAAGGAGCATAACTGTGGAAACCACTCCAGCATGTAGTTTTAACAGCTCTTTAGGGAGCTAGTTAATGAAAGAATCACTACAGAAACACAGCCATGGAAAAAAAAAAAGGAGCATTCTCATATAACACTCTGAGGATATGTCATAAGTGGAAATATGCTCATAATTTCTATTTACACATAGCTGTAATTACCTTCTGCTTTAAGATTACTTTCAGTCTTCTCCTGTCAAAGTTGCTTAGATATTTCCTCTTTCCCATTTCAGGCAGAGAAGTTCAGTACAGGCTACAGCTTGTCCCAAGTTTCTTTTTTCCTCCCCCCCCCTTGAAGAATTTAATTATCTGTTCTCTGTGTGAAGAAAGCACTAGTGTATCCAGGGACCTTGACTTCTACCGCCTGATTGGACTGGCATTAATCTGATTCATGTTCTTGTTATCATTGCTATTTGTCTGGGAAGCAGACTTCTGCACTTGTATTAACTTTGGGTTGTGCTTTGCCCTTTAAATTTGTGTGAGTTTGGTTTTTCTCTTTTCTCTCTTTGGATGCAGTGTCTATGAACCAGACAGAAATGTGTTACGGAGGAAAGAACGGGAAAGGAGGAATCAGGAAACTCAGCAGGATGATGGTGCATTTAGTACAAGTTACTCCCTCTTCAGTGAACCTTACAAGGTAGATACTTTTCAGCTGCTTCCTCTCTATCTCCCTCTCCCACTGCCCCCACCGCCACTATGTCAGACTCTAGTTATGGGAGAGAATGCTAAAATTTGAATATACTGCTCCCTGTGCAGTCCAAGGGAGATAACACAGTCACCAGATGTTGATTTCAACCTCACCAGATGCTGATTTCTCCTTCACATATCTTCAGTGGCTATGCATACTTGGTAAAATATCAAATGTTTTTATATTAAAGCTTTGGTTGCTAAGGATTTCGGCAATGAGATAAATTGTTAGATGTCTAACTAGCTCCCCAGGTGAAGGCTGTGTTGCCCTAATCACTAAGCACTTAGCAAAAGTAGTTAGATTTTTTTTTTTTTAAAAAAAAGAGGTCAGGTTTATATTTTTTAACATGCTTGGCTCATGCTTTCAGTCTGGGTGCCTCTTTGGGCTAATAATGAAGAAACAATAGTTGGATTATTTCTTATTTGTACTAAATACCAGAAATCTAATCTGTCCTCCAAAACTAATTTTCTTCAGGAAATTTCACTGATATCAAGGGCTTCATGGAGCTTATGGAAAGCTCAGGATCATAGGTTTCCTGTAACCTTAGCTCCGAATGCCTATTCAAACTATTATTTGGTTTTTCTTGCCTGTCACTCTCTGTTTCTGAAAAGAATAATTACACAGGGGGAAAAAATAGAGATTGGAGCAGTTAAGAGGCCAACCTGAATTTTTGAGAAAGACTTCCAGGGGACTACAAAGAAACCAAAATTTGATCATGGAGATATTTAATCTGAATCACTTTGTGCAGTGGCAGTAGTAAATTTTCTGGTTTCCAGGTAATATATTTTAACGGCAACATGATACCAGTGATAGATCTCTTCTTTATGTACTCCAAGGCTGTTTATAGCTTTTCCAGGGCAGGGTGGATTTAGAATGTTGACAAACGTCTTCAGAGACAATGAGGATCCTATCTTGATACCAGCCCTTAGCTCTCTTTTTTTAAAGGAGGCAGCTCTGCTTGTTATAAGGTCTTCAATAAAGGCACACTATGATTTTTGTTTTGTTTTGTTTTCTTCTCTCTATTGTATTTTATAGCTTGTTTGCTTTTTTTCCCCTCCAGACTAACAAGGGGGATGAGCTCTCAAATCGAATCCAGAATACCTTAGGCAGTTATGATGAAATGAAAGACTTCTTGACTGACCGATCCAATCAGAGTCACCTTGTTGGAGTTCCCAAACCTGGGGTTCCACAGACCCCTATGAACAAAATAGATGAGCATTTCATTGCTGACTCAAGACCGCAGCCTCAGCCTCCTATCTGCAGCACATCATCTTCCACACCAGCAGCTGTACCTGTGCAGCAGAGCAAGAGGGTCACCATGGGCTGGCAGAAAGTTGGCCATCCTACATCTGATGGCCAGCAGAGGGCAAGCAAACATGGGCATAGGTTGCTTGATTCACACAATAGTGACTTCAAATCTGCTAACCAAAAAACCAGTAATGAGAAACCTAAACACTGTGTCTCAAGCCCCACATCTTCCTCCTCTTCTTCTTCTTCTTCCTCCTCCAACTCAGCACAACCAGGACCTCCAAGGACCATGCTTGGAGACAGTGTCAGCAGGCAGCAGTCACGGTCCAAACAAAGCTGCAGTGTGGAAATGGGTCTTCAACCTCAAGAAAGGACATCTACCATGTCTGCCAAACACAGCAGCGGTGGGCACTGTGTTCAGAACTTCCCTCCTTCTCTTGCTTCAAAACCAAGTCTAATCCAGCAGAAACCAACTGCTTATGTTCGGCCGATGGATGGCCAAGACCAGGCCCCTGATGAATCTCCTAAACTCAAGTCTTCAACAGACACTAGTGTACATTGTGTGCCCTACCGCGGAGTACCTGCAAATAAAGCTGAATCATCCAGGACCAAGGCCAAGCTAGCAAAATTTAGCATTCCCAAACAGGGAGAGGTAAGTCACTTTTAAACATTATTTTCATGGAATTATTGAGTAAGTTCATGATTCATGTGTGAGGTTTAATTTCCAGTCCTCCCTTTTCTCTAATTCATGAATATGGATATTAATTCCATATATATAATATATATATACACATATATGTGTGTGTATATGTGTATCATATACTGATTCTTCTACTTTTATGTTATTTATAAAATATTCCCCTCTCTCTGTATATGTGTATAGATATATATACATATACATATATAGGGAATCATGTTATATATATATAGTGTGTGTGTATAATATACTGATTCTCCTATTTATATGTTATATATAAAATATTCCCCTCTCTGTAAATATGTGTATATATATATATATATATAAAATATACATATATAGGGAATAATTTGTGATCTTTAAAAAAAACTCAATTATGATCAGGACTTTTGGTGTTTAAACTGTGAGCCAGGGTATCATGTCTGTGAGTTTCTATTGCTGTGGTGGTGACGTGACTCCATTGTATCCAGGTGATATTTTGAAGAAAAAATTCTGTATTGTCTGACATACAATTAAGTATATTACATAGTGGAAATAAAAACACTTGAAGACAAATGATTGATGATTACTTTTTAATGTGTGAAAAGGTTATTTTTTAATGGATTAAATTTTTTTATCAGTTTAGAAAAATCCCTTAGTGTCTGCCACAAAATGAAGCACATAATGATTTTGGAAAGGGGTTGTTTTAATGAGAAGATCTTATAAATCATGAATATATAAATGCATCATATTTTCATTCAATATTTGGAATATTTAAGGCCTGTGTTCTTTGCTATTAACCAGAATTTCTACTTGAAACCTCTGGTTCTCTCAGAAATAAACTTAGTGCTACAAAAGATAGTGGAGTCTTTAAGCTCAAGTACTCTTGGTTTGTACTTTTATTTCTATGATAATTGCTTTATAATTTTATTACAAAGTGAAAGGGGCAAATAAATCTATTGATAAATTGAAGTGGTTTTATTTTAATACTTCATGTTTAAAGATAAATGAACAAGGGATTTGGATCTAAAGTGAGCTTTTTACAGTAGAGAAGCATTTTAAATGCATGTTATAGAGAAGGTTACCATCACTTCTGTATATTTTCCTATATATAGTAGCAAGAACTGTGTATTATGTCAACTTTGCTTCCTCTTCAGTGCCCAGCATATTGTTTTATACACAGTAGAGCTGAATTTCTTAAATGAGTGACTAAAGAAGCATGAACACACATCCATATATCTATGTATATAAATCTACGTATATGTACATGTATTTAAGTATATGTGTGCATGTATGGGTGTATATATGCACATACATACATATATACACGCATGGAGAAAGTGAGAGAGAGAGAGAGAGATCTGTACAGGGTATCCAAAAGTCTCAGTACAGTTTTAAACAATCAAATATATGTTATACTTAATATAATTAAATAGACATATTTGAATCCCAGGTCTGTACTTACTAGCTATTTGACCCTAGGCAAATCATTTAATCTCTCTGGGCCTCAGTTTCCTTACTCTGGAAGGTTATTTCTTCCAGCTCTAACAGTCCATTCTATGAGTCTGAGATAGACAAGGCATATAGCTTCTGGTTTTATAGATGCTCATCTCTAAAATAAAAGCTCAGAATAAACAATTCAGCAGGGTCATTGAGAAACATAATTCCTCAAGCGCTAAATACCGAATTGGCTCAAAAGGACTTTTAAGAAATCAATTTAACAATCAGCTGAAATGAAATAAATGTCTTATGATTGGTCTGTCCTAGTTAAATATATGAAAATAATGACTCAAATTTTTAAAAAATCAAATGTTTTTAGAAATCTCCATAGATTAACTGAAGATGAAGCTAATATTCTCAGAGTAGCCTTCAAAAAAAAGAACTTCATGTTTCTCAAATTGCTATAAAGGACACAATTTTTAAAAAGCAATAACTTAAAAAGTTTGTGAGTTTTGGGGTTAGTAATTGGCAATGCATTCGTCTGTATCTTTTCTTCTTTATATGAGAATAACTTTTTTTCAAAAGAGATCTCCAATCTCTTTGATTTAAGAAATCATATAGGAAACGACCCTTCAAAATTAGTCACTGTCAAACTAATTCACATATATTTACATCTGCTCTGCATGGTTTAAATCTTTATTTAAAGCATTTTAGCAAGGGGCTAAAACAGATGGGTTTTTATCTCATTAAGCTCTTTGATTTCATGGTCATCACCATCAGTTATCATTTAAGATAAAGCACTTCTATTGGCTAAATTGGAATAGGACCTACCTTTGAATGTCTGGCAATGCTACACTAGGACTGACTCTGGTCATCAAGAGGGGAAAATATCCTGAAATGGAGAGATCCACACAAGGAAAAAGATCCTATTCAGAGCCTTCTTCTTCTTCCCAAAAATGTGTTATGTTCTTTTCAAGTTAGTAGAGTAGGGGACAGCTAGGTGGCGCAGTAGATAGAGCACCAGCCCTGAAGTCAGGCAGACCTGAGTTCAAATTTGACCTCAGACACTTGACACTTACTAGCTGTGTGACCCTGGGCAAAATATGGGCGAGTCACTTAACCCCATTGCCTAGCCAAAACAAAATAAAAAACAAAACAAAACAAAACAAAAAATTTAGTGGAGTGGAATAGGAGAGCAATATCACTTAGTCTAAACAAGTGAAAGACTGTAACAGTAAGGGAATACTTCCTTCTCCACCTTCTCATTCCCACCTTTACCAAATATTTGATCACAGTATCTAAAGTTTGAAATTACTTTAGAGATAATCTAGTCTACAATTCTCATTTTATAAAGCAATTAACCAATCAATCGATACTTATTACAAATGAGGAAAATGAGGCCCATAGAGCAAAGGGACTTGCTTACATTCATATAGGTAGTAATCAACTAATCTGGGATTCAAACAACCCAAGGTTTATTTTAATAAATAAACATTTATTAAATGGCAACTGTACCAGGCACTGTACTAAGTACTGGGGATAAAAAAAAAGTTAAAAGTCAGTCCCTGTTCTCAAGGAGTTCACCATCTAATGGGAGAGATGACATGTAGACAACTATGTATTGTCAAGTTACATACAGGATAGAGTTGAAATAATCAGCAGAGGCAGGGCACTAGCATTAAGGGAAATTAGGAATGGCTTCCTATAGAAGGTGGGATTTTAGCTGGAATTTTAGGGACGCCAAGGGGCAGAGAAAAGAGAAGGGAGAGAATTCCTTAAGGGGGGGGGAGGTCAGACAGTGAAAATATCTGGAGTCAGGAGATGGAATGTCTCATTTGAAGAAAAACAAGGCCAATATCATGATCATAGAGTACATGGAAGGGTATAAGGTATTAGAAGATTGGAAGGACATGGGAGGCAGGTTATAAAGCACTTGGAATGTCAAGCAGAGGATTTTATTTTTGATCTTGGAGGTGATGGAGAGGTGCTGGAGTTTGTTGAGTGGTAGGAAAGGGGTGACATGATTAGACCTGCACGGTAAGAAGATCTGTTTGACACCTGAGTTGAGAATAGACTGAAGTGGGGAGTGACTTGTGTCACCTGAACTCTTTCTTCCATACCACTGTGTTTGATTAAATTCAATCTATGATTGAAGTGAGTGGATTGAAAAATAGTAAAAAGGAAAGTTGTTCATAGTCAACACTGATGAGGAAGTTGGGGCCAATTTATGATAAAATTTTGTCTTTGTTTTAAACAAATTGTGAGATTAGTCAAAGATCTTATAAGCACAGTTCTGTGAGGCATATAAGAGAGCGACAAAATTAGCATCTTATCCTCATGATGGAAAATGCTATCCACAAAGAAGAAAGAACTGTGGAGTTTGAATGCAGATCAAAGCATACTATTTGCTATTTTTTTTCTTCTGTTGTGTTTTGTTTCCTGTTTCTGGTGGTTCCTCCTATCGGCTCTAATTCTTACTTACAACATCACTAATGTGAAAATATGTTTAATAGGAATGTATATGTATAGCCTATATCAGATTGATTGCTGTGTAGAGGAGGGAGGTGGGGAGGGAGGTGGGGAGGGAGGGGGAGAAAAATTTAAAACTCAATAGTTTATGGAAGTGATTGTTGATAATTCAAAATAAATTAATAAAAAAAGAATTAGGATTTTATAAAATTGTCTGTTTTAATTGAAGATCTATTCATAATGAGAAAATGACTTTTCATAAGTATTAGTACAATGCTATGAATGTCATCTGTAACATTACTTCTACTTTCCCCCATCTCACAAAGTGCAGATTTTTTTTGGTTTTGTTTTTTACAAACCTTTAAGAGGAGCTCAAGATTATCAGTTGCAGGTGCATAATCAAATATTTCCAATTCTTTCCATGAAATCCCAGACCATGACACAGAAGATGATTAAGGTCATCAGTGAATGAGTATAACTCAGAGCAGATATTTACTTCCTAAAGCAAGTATAATGGTTTCACGTGGCAGAAAAATAATTTTCAGGATATGAACACTTTTTGCTTAGGTTACATCTTTGTTAAAATATGTATATATGCATAATGTGTGTGTGTGATCGTTAGTTCTGACATCAATTACTTCTGAATTGCATGGTAAGGGTTATTATTGCCTGACCTTACAGAGGAAATTAATTTTGAGGGAACTGCTATGATTTGACTACCCTTAACCAAGAGGTCAGTATTTCAACTTGGAATAGACATGGGGGCTTCCTATGATGCTGCTACTATGCATCTTCCTAGTGTAATGCTTTTGGAAGTGTTCTTTAAAATTATTCACCAAGATTATATTTACATGATGCCAAAACAACTGGTCAATTCAGTGGAAAAAAATCAGGTGAATTGACCATGATGTGGTGCAGACACAAATGAAACTAACAAATATTTGTTGAATATCTGCTATGTGCAAGGTACTGTGCTAGTGCTTTGGGAGATACAAACACATATAAAACATGGCCTTGCCCTCAAGATGCTTATACTTGAATTGAAGAAATTAAATACTAAAGCAGAA